CTTATAAGCGGTTGATTAGGAACATCCCAGTTGAGATATTTTACATATCTCTATTGCCAGACCACACCCTGGACTATCAGTGCTCTTTACTACTAGAAATAGTCATTAGCATCTTTAAATCTAATCAGATTAGCAAACCAATTCCAGCAACTCCAGAACCAATTCATAAAACTTTTATGTAAAATTCTGTTCCTGTACTTCCAGTACCAAATCTGTATTAGTCAGGGTTCTCCAGGGAAATTCCTTATATATATTATAAGAAATTGGCTCACCTGACGTGGAGGGTAAGAAGGCCCACAATCTATCATTTACAAGCTGGAGATCCAGGAAAGCCAATGGTATGGCTCCAGTCCAAGACAGAATGCCAGAGGACCAGGAAACCAGTGGTGTAAGTCACAGTCAAGGTTAGGAGAAGACCAATATCCCAGCTCAAGCTTCAAGTGAATTCTTCCTTCTTCCCTCCTTTCTTTTTTGTTCTATTCAAGCCCTAAACAGATTAGATGATGCCCACTCACATGGGGTGGGGAGGGAATCTGTTTTACTCAGTCTACTGATTAAAATGCTATATCATCCAGAAACATCCTCAAAGACACACTCTGAAATAATATTTAATATTTAGGCACTCTTTGACCCTTTCAAGTTAATACCTAAAATTAACCATCAAAGAAATGAAAGTTTGGCAGTACATTTGTTTTTTGTTTTTAATTTGCAAAGCTATATCTTGTTTTGGATCTTACTTTTGTTCTAAGAAACCTCTCAAATTTTGGCCAAATGTTATAAACCTGTTAGGGAAGCTATTTCCCATTCAATAGCCTTTGTTATTCAATAAAATCTCCTATTTTTCACTTAGGGCCATTCACAAAAAAAAAAAAAATGAGAATACCACAGGAAAGCATCTGCCTGTGGATTTACTCCAAAATGTAGCTTGACTTGACTCTCTTAGTGGTTGCTTTTGATGAATAGAAGTTCGTAATTTTAATGAAGCCCAATGTATCAATATTTTTAAGTTAGTGCTTCTGAGTCTTTTAAAGCAATATTTGCTTACCTAAGGCCATGAAAACAATCTCCTTTGTTGTCACATATAAGTTTTAATATTTTACCTTTCACATTTAGGTCTGATCCATCTAGAATGGATTTTTGTGTAAGGTGTGAGGTAGGAGTCAAGATTCCTCTTTTTTTTCCATATTGATATCTAATTGACCCACCATCATTTACTTAAAAAACCAACCTTTTCTCCAAACTGCAGTGGCACCTTGGCAATAAACAACTGTGTGTATAGGAGTAGGTCTGTTTCTGAACTCTATTCTGTTCCACTGTTCTGTTTGTCTGTCTATGCACCAACATGACACTGCCTTAATTATTGTTCAGGGATGAAAAAAACAGATAACATGGGAATAAGGGCTAAGGAGAAGATATATTACTATCTTGAATCTTAGGAGCTTACTTGTTGGGCAAAGACCAAAGATGAGGGCGAGGAGTGAGACAGGATGGGATTTATCACTTCCTGGTAAGTGCTAGAACCCTGGTGTCGGACTCTGGTGGGTGCGATTATGAGAGAGAGAGAGTACAACCCACTTGGGCTTGCTCAGGTTGAGGGCAGACTTGGCCTTGTCAGCAGTGGACCCATATGGAGTAAATATAAAAATTGAAACTCAAGATTGTAATGTGTTCTTGGACAATAATTCCTAGGAAACAATTCATACCAGATAAATTTCCATCAAAATATAGGATAAATGTATGGTATAATTGCGAGAATTGAATTAGTACAATTTCTTGGGTTTGATATTTGACATAAGTTTTTTTTATATAACAAAGGCAAACTAAATGCAACTTAAGTAGTCAAGAAAAATGTGATTGGTTAGCTTAATTGTGGTTCATCCATATGATGTAATACTACACAACTGTTAGATGTCATTTTATAACAGAATAATTAATCTCATGAAAAAAATTATCTAAGTTAAAAAAAGCTTTGTATAGAATAGCACATTTAACAAAATCCCAATATACATTAAAGAAAATGTATTTCTATGCATTGATAAAAGACTCGAGTAAATATACCTAAGTATTTGCAGTGGTTATTTCTGGGTGATAGGATGAGGATATTTATATTTTAGTTTTTATGCTCTTCTGTATTTCTTCAAGAACCAGTAATATTTTAATTATTATAGGAAAAATAATTCCTTTTTTTTTCCATTGTAGATTCTACATTCATCCTTCCTGCCTTTATGACATTGGGCTAACATATTTACCAGTGATATTGGACATATCTGACCTGTGCATATAATTATGCACAAAAAGCACAAAAGGTAATAACTGAATAAAGTGATAATAGAATAAATTTCAAATTTCATAATACCTTCTTGCCTTTGATTTATTTTAGCCCCATTCTAATTTCTTTCAGGAATATAGTTCTTCCTCATTTGCTTGGGTGACTTAATCTGGGTAAGCCTCAGGGAAGCATTGCAGTAATAATTGTTTTAAATTGCTGTGGGTGACAAAAGGTGTCTCAGAAAGTAGTACTACAATAACAATAAATGCTTTAAGTATAAGCAGAGGCTAAATAACAAGGCTTAAATCGTATGCCTGTGCAGTCCCTTTTGTAGCCAAACTAAGTTTCCCACGCTTCAAGAGAGAAGCAGACAGCTCGATAGGCTGGCATAGTAGTGTAAACCTTCTTTCTCAGACATCAACCCTTTTACACTATTTCTCTTAACACAGAGTAGTACTGAAACAAGGAAAGATGAAGATGCAAAAAATGGTTTAATATTTTAAAATATTTATTTATTGCTTTGTCTCTGAGAAGATGTAAGGTATGTTAATATTTTAAATAAAATTAATCCCAAATGCATCATCTGAACCAGACAGAATCTAGATGTCACTGAATCTAGAGAAAGCTTAATAAAACACTGGGTGCTCAGAAACGTGGAATCAAGCTTGGAAGTGTCTTTTCTCCCTGCTCCTTTTAGTCACCTCTCTGGAGCCCCAGCTGTCTGCACATGAGCACCACTCTTCAATTCTTCCATTGTCAAGGAAACTCATCTTGGTTTCCTCTAAAAAGGAGACAATTCAGAGAAGAAGTGGGTGGGCAGGGCTAGCTTTGATGATGATTTGAGGAAGAAGAAAAGGTCTGCTCTCTATAGAAAACTATGATTAGGTGCCAGCCCCGTGGCATAGCAGTTAAGTGCACGCACTCGGCTGCTGGAGGCCTGGGTACGCACCCACGCACCGCTTGTTACCAGCATGGCGGCGTCCCACATAAAGTGGAGGAAGATCGGTAGGGATGTTACCTCAGGGCCAGTATTCCTCAGCAAAAAAAGAGGAGGATTGGCATGGATGTTAGCTCAGGGCTGATCTTCCTCACAATAAAAAAAAAAAAAAAGAAAACTATGATTAGAATTACTCTTTTGGGATAAGGCTTTGTCACTACAAAGCTCCTATAAAAAATATAAGCACATTTCTTAAGAAGCTTAACACATCAACCTATTACACCTACTAACAAGGACAATTTCACTGTTTTATTTAGCTATTAACTTAGAAATTGTGATCGTTAATTTTATGTGTCATCTTGACTGGGCCACCGGGTGCCTAGATATTTGGTCAAAGATTATTCTAGGTATTTCTGTGAGGGTGTTTTTGGATGAGTTTAGCATTTAAATTGATAGACTGAGTAAAGCAGATTGCTTTCTCTAATTTGGGGGGGCCTCATCCAATCAGTTGAAGACCTGAATAGAAGAAAAAGGCTGACACTTACACTGAATAAGAGGGAATTCCTCCTGCCTGACTGCATTCAGACTCAAACTGAGACATCAACTCTCCCTGGGTCTCAAGACTCCAGCCTTTGGATTAGAACTCCATCATTGGCTCTCCTGGGTCTCCAGCTTTTCTGGGACTTGCCAGCCTCCATACTCAAGTGAGCCAATTCCTTATTGGTAATATTCTAGATGTCTAGAATATTATGGAATTAATTTCACACATATATACCAACTTTGTGCAGGTTTGGTCATCTAGGCCAGTCCATTGCACATTTTAGCACAGCTTATGCCCACAGTATATAGGTGTATTCGTCTGGTCAGCAGCAAAGAGACCGTTTTCCTGCATTGTAAGTTGCCTGGGAGGAGGCAGGGTCCTCTGTGTGGAGACAGACTGAGCCCAAGGAAGAGCTAAAGCTACCAGAGTGTAAAATAATTTTGATGAAAACATTCATGCTCTGAATTTTCAATCTCATTTCTCATTCAGTAATTGTTAGGTCACCAGAAATGAATGGAAAATGGATAAAATGTAGCCTGTCTTGGAACATTTTTGTTCCAGGTGAATGTGTCACTCCATTCAGTGTGTTCAACTACTCAAATATTTTGCCTCAAATTCTTTTTTTGTTATTCAATTTATTTAAACTAAAAAAAAAATTCACCCCAAATTCGAATTCTTTTGTTTGGAATAAATTTAGGTAGTAAAAAGCCAAATCAATGAAGAATTAGGTATTTTAAGTTTTTCTATTTGGATGTGTCAAATTCCAGGTAACTGAACACAGTAACATATAGCAATGGTAAGTTTCAAAGGGCTTAAAGAACTAATAGATTTGCAAACCTCAAGATAAATCAAGTAGCACTCTGGGATATCTAATTTGTTTACATATAATAATTAATATTTTAAAATACAAAACAATCTTTCAGACAAGGAAATTTAGAAGCCAAAGCCAGAGGACTCACACAGTTCTTCGCGTATTGTTAGCAGGAACAGTTCAAACACGTGCAAAGTCCAGAAAATAATCATCAGACCCAAGTGATCCACTCGGATGAGAAGAAAGGAATTTGCTCGGCATCTTCCGTATTATCTCAAGAGATTACATAGAAACTAAAATGAGGAGAAATGTTTCTGAAACCAACTTAGCCCCCAGCCCCAAACCAAAAATCGAACCCGGGACTTGTCATAAGCGCGAGCAGAGCGATGGGCGGTGAAGGAAAAGAGTCGGGGCGCCTCTAATCACACTGGGCAGGGGGGCCATGAAGCCCTCGGCCAGGGAGGCCCTTCCTCTCGGCTTTGGGAGAGCCGCTTTGGAAGCTCCCTTTCCCGCGGTTCCTCCACCCGGCGGCCGCGACTGCGGGACGCAGGGCGGGTGGGGGACAGAAAGGCCGGGGAAGGAGACTGCGGGGAGGGCGAGGGGACGCGCGCGCGGGTGCCGGCCGGGGAGCGAGTCCCCGGGCGCCGCCGCTGCTGTTGTCCCGGGTGCTGAAAAGCCGGGAACTTCCCGGGGAGCAGCGGCCACTTTCCTCTCTCGGAGCGTGGGGTGGGGGGTTTCAGGGGGCGCACCTGCTCAGCCCGTCCTGGCGCCGCGCCCGGAGGTGCCTGTTAGATGAGGCCCTCCCCAACCCCGTTCAAGCGGGAGAAGGATGATGGGGGAGGTGGTGAGCATCGCCAGGCACACCAGACCGGACCCCGGGCACCCCTTCTTCTCCCCTCGGGGCAGCCCCGCGCGGCGCCCTCCGCTCCACCTGCGCGCGAACTCTGGCCGCCGGGGAACTCAGGCACCCGCGGGCTGAGGGTGACGGCGAGCCCGGGGGGATCTACGTAGGTTCGCCAGTTTTTTGGCGGGTGTGTGTGTTAGGGCGGGGGCGGGGGTAGCGGTGGGGGAGCGCGATCCGCGTGCGCGCAGTGGGGCGGACGAGGTGTCGCCGGCCGGGGCTGCGGCGCTGCTGGCCGGGGCGAGCTGCCTGTGCTACGGCCGCTCCCTGCAGGGCGAGTTCGTGCACGACGACGTGTGGGCGATCGTGAACAACCCCGACGTGCGGCCCGGCGCCCCGCTGCGCTGGGGCATCTTCACCAACGACTTCTGGGGCAAGGGCATGGCCGAGAACACCAGCCACAAGTCCTACCGGCCGCTCCGCGTCCTCACTTTCGAATGCGCCGGTGTCCGGAGAAGTTGCGAGACTGGATGAGGAGAGTTTCTATATCTTGCTTCCCCTTCCCCTCCGCGCCTCCCTCCTCTCCGGGCTGTCCAAGCCACTCTGCTCCGCAGTCCTCTGCCCTGCTTCACTGAACTCGTGGGGCGGATCCAGGGGCACTGGTTGGGGAGTCGGGACAGTTTTCTCAAGTGTCTGCGCTCTCGGCGGATTGTTCTCTCTGGAGAGAACTGAAGGCAAGCTGAAGGAGCCTGATCCTCACTTGCCTCCCCCCGCCCTCGCCCCTGTAGTGACCATAGTACAGCCGGCTCCTGAGAGGGTTGTGGAAGGGGGCGGGGGGAGTGGGACGCTGCTTCCAGGGTGGTAATTTCTCAGTCTTAGGGGCAGCTTTGCAGATGGGCAGACTGAGCCCCTGTGTGGTCCTGTTCAGTCACAGCAGGAGATAGCTGGGATCTGCCAGCTGCCTGGGTTAGGGGAAAAAGCAAAGAAGGCATCAAAAATTGTAAAGGGTCTGAGATTTTACCTTGCTTAGAAGCAAACAGCTTGCCACAGTTTTATAGATGCTAGCAGAAGACAGAAGAAGCCTGGGTCAGAAATAAAAAGTACCTCATCGCTTGATTATTCAGGACTGAACAGTCAGCATGAGCTTCATGTTCACTTGCTTCTCCTCACCTCCGAAGTCCCATGGGAGTGATGCAAGGAAGGCCTAGATGGATATTTCACCCACAGTGGATCTGTGTCACAGCCAGTGAACCCCAATATTTTAAAGGGGCTCTTAGCAATCGCCACACCCCAACCATTTCCCCAGAGGAGACATTATCTTAATCCTGGTCAGGAAACAAATCTGGCCTCTCTTCCAAAGGGAGACACTATCTCAGATATCCTTGAAAAGAGCCTGAGACAAGAGCTATAACAAGAGGTATAGAAATGACATGGAGAATTTCTCCCCAAGAAGAAGCAGGAGTGGACCTGCTCCACCCTTGGCTGCTCCCCCAGCCTCCAAGCTGACAAAACCGCTAGCAAGCAAGACCCTCTGGCATCCTGGCAGAACTGGTTTTTACTTTATAAACTTGCAGTTACTCTTCAGCAATCCTGATGTTTCTGATGTGAATAATTTGAAGTGTAAGGGGGAACCGAAGATTCTTAGGGTGGAATATTCGATTTAAATGTGGGCTAGCCCTAGGTTTTTTATTGTACAGAGAATGTGAAAAAATGGCCTTTGAAAATTATCTGCAAAATGTGTTTTATCTTCATTATCCAGAGAAGAGAGGGTTAGGAAGGAAGTCCAATTCATGCTTCAGAGAAAGTCTGAGTGGGGGGTGGAGATGACAGAGAAAGGTCATATTCCAGGGTCAAGGGGGTTTGGTGTATATGGTGTAGATGAGCTCACGGATGGAGTCATGGGAGACTTCTTATGCAGAAATCTTTTGTAATCAATAAATTCTTACTCTCTTGCTTTGGAGCCATTTGCATATTTTTCCTACCGTTGAGTACCCAGTTATCCCACTTTTAAAGAAGGAATGTTTGATGATGCCAAAGTCATGACATTGTTTTTCTGATGATGATAGGTATTTTCTGTTCCCAAATGTCCTGTGTAATCTGACCCCTGGCTACCTCTCCAGCTTCATGTCCACCTCATGCACTCACTCCAAACCAACCCTCAAGATCCTTTGTTGTTCCTCATGCACACCAAACTCGCTGCCACCTCAGGGCCTTTTTTTTTTTTTTTTTTTTGGTGAGGAGGATCAGCCCTGAGCTAACATCCATGCTAATCCTCCTCTTTTAGCTGAGGAAGACTGGCTCTGAGCTAACATCTATTGCCAATCCTCCTCCTTTTTTTCCCTAAAGCCCCAGTAGATAGTTGTATGTCATAGTTGCACATCCTTCTAGTTGCTGTATGTGGGACGCAGCCTCAGCATGGCCGGAGAAGTGGTGCGTCGGTGCACGCCCGGGATCCCAACCCCAGGCCGCCAGTAGCGGAGCGCACGTACTTAACCGCTAAGCCACCGGGCCGGCCCCACCTCAGGGCCTTTGACTGGCTGTTTTTCTTCCTGGAAAGTTCTTCCTGCAAGCCTGGCTTGCTCAGGCTTTGCCCAAAGGGCCCCTCGTCAGAGACCCCTTTCCCGGTTATCCTGTCTCAGACAGCAAGCACTCCTCCAGACCTCACCCATACTCTCCTACCTTGCTTTATCTTCAGTGGCACCCATCACTATCTGGCCTTAGATATTTATTTGTTTATTCCTACCCTGCCCCGGCCCCCACTACAGTATAAGCTCTGTGAGGGCTATCCCTACCTTCTAGAACAGTTCCTGCCACAAAGTAGGTACTCTATAAATGAATAATTTGGGGAATGTTCAGCAACTTTCCAGATAATTTTTAAGACAGGGCTATCTTTTTTTTTTTTTTAATATGAGAATAAGGTCTCCTTGGTCTTATTTCTTGGCTTCTTGCCTTTCTCTTTCTTGCTGCAAAAGAAAGCACAGGTGGCCTATGAGTTCCCTGGACACACTCTGAGGATTTGGGTGGGTCATTATTATTGGCAGCTCTGATTCTGAGAGCACCTCTGATTCTGTGTCTCTCAGCTGGAACCTGCTGGGCTGTGACTGAGGAAGAAGAGGATCTTCAGCACGTTCACATCTTCCTCCTCTTGGATGGCACATTGAAGCATAATAAGTTGGTGGGGGCATCCTTCCTAAATGTGCAAGGCTGTAGTCATTGTACTTCCCAAGGTCAAATCCACCCACAGGGGTTCTATCCATGCCCTTCTGTCAGCAAACTGCCTTCCATTCATGCTGGTGTCCACTTTTCCCTGAGGAGAGGTCACTTTTATTTCAGACAAAAAGACATATCCATGAAATACCGTTTCCTAACAGATTGGAGTAAAAAGACCTGAGAATAACCTGTCCTCAAAGGAGTTAATATGCCTTTCTCCTCCCCTCAGCACTCCAGCAAACACCGACCTCTGAAGGACAGCTAGGTTATTGCTAAAACTAATCACTCAGCAACCGGTTACAAAGAAGATATTTGGCATTGATATGATCTAATTTTTAAATATTTGCTGACTTCCTCTTCTGAGGGCTTTCTTCTGGGACTTGCCACCTTCTATGTGTGGTTAGTGATCTTCCTTGTCCTCGGTTCCCACACCCCTTCTTTGGAGCAGTTGTAACTGGATACTAAGGTGACAGCAGTGACATTAACGATTCCTGAACTTGGCCATGGGTGTGGGCTCCTCTTGATCAGCTTTCCTTCCACTTTCCCCATGCTCCCTCCCTCCCCTTTCCCTTCAGCCCATGTGAGGATGTCCCGCATTAAACTTGCATCACAACCATGAACTTTGCTTTCACCACCAAGTGCAGTGTTGTGTTTGCATTGGTGCCTGCAAATCACATCCTTTGGGTCTTCAGAGCCATGAAGTGATGCTGATTTGCTGATTGTTCCTGGTACTGGAAGGAGTGCAGAAGAAGAGCAACCAAAAGAATTACGAGCCAGAGAGACTCACCTTAGAGGTGTGAAGGATGACATGAGTGGAGCCATATTAAAATAGAGCCAGAGCAACCATTTCAGAGGAATTGCCTTGCAAGTCTTGTTTTCTTTGTTTTCCAAACTGCACCAAACTGCCAACTCCAAGAAGTCAGGAAGGACAAGAATATTCTGTTCGTAAGGACTGATAAAACTGGACTTTGCTGATGACGGAATAGCTAATTAATCAGTGAAGTACAAATCTAGCCTTGCCTCATCTAGCACCAATGAACTCTTCTTTAATACAACTCACCTCATCCTCCCTTTTTTCCCATAAAACCCCTAAGCCCCTCTCCTGTAATCAGAGCATATTTTGGGTTTCTGCCTGAATCTGTGTCTCCCGAATTGCAATTCTAATTGCCCGAATTAATATCTGCTGTTTAAATTGTAGTGACTTTCCCTCGGTCGACAAGGAAAAACCGGAAGAATCAGAAGTTGTTATGGATTGGTTGAGTGATCTAAGAACACTATGGAAACCACTTATAAGCATTTGAGCTGAGATAATGGCAAGAGATGGGGAAGAAGAAAGACCAGGGGCTTTAGAGGAAGATAGGAAAATGTGCTGTGTGTTTAGTGTTGGGCTGTGGAAACTCACAGGAAGTGTTGTAGAACCCATCATTTCAGACACCGGACACAGGTGATAAAGGAGCATACAGTTTTTTCTTCCCTGGATTTTAGCTTAAATGGTGGTGAATGTGTCAATGAGTTACCAGAGAGAGCTGGGTTTGGTGGGAAAGTGGGGCCGTTAGCTCTTCACACGCTGCCCTAAAACTTGCAGATCTCTGGGCTCCCTCCAGCTCTATTAAATTACAATTTATGGAGGGCAGCTCAGGGAATCTGCTTTGTACCAAGCACACTGGGTAATTCTTAGATACCCAAAAGTCAGGAACCCCTGGTTATGGTAATAGCTAACATTTATTTATGTAGCATTTACTGGGTGCAGCGTTTACTGTTTTAAATATTTAATCTTTTTTTTTGTTGCTGAGGAAGGTTCGCCCTGAGCTAACACCTGCAGCCGATCTTCCTCTTTTTTTTTTTATTTGAGCCACCATCACAGCGTGGCCACTGACAGATGAGTGGCGTAGGTATGTGGCCAAAGGGCCAAACCTGGGCCACCGAAGCAGAGCGTAGCTAACTTAACTGCTAGGCCACCAGGGCTGGCCCTAAATATTTAATCATTTTAATCCTCATCTCAGCCTCAAGAATTAGGTATTATTATTATTGCTACAGTTCTACAGATAAAGGAAACTGAGGCACAGAGAGGTTAAGTGACTTGTGCTCAACTGATGCAGCTAAGTATCAGAGCCAGGACTGCCCCTCACCTGGCAGTCTGGCTCCTAACTCCATGGTCTTAACCACCACACCAGGTGGCCTCTTTGAGGACAGTTAACTTTGAAATCCTGTCGGCCTCATGGGATGGAACAGCCAGGGGAGACTGCTTATAATGCATTTTTATCAAAAGGGAAATTATCTTTTCTTT